TTCTTATACAGTACTTAGAAGAAATCCTCTCAATAGAAGAAATGTTTTTGCTGATGTCTGACACAACATCGACGATACGGCGATCGTACGATAATTTCCCCAAGGTCCGAGGTAATGGAATACGCATGAGGACCTGTATGTACTGCAAAGGACTTCGCCCTGCAATTTATTGTACAAAGTTCCCATCTCCGCAAGAGCGGGCCCGTTATCTGCGTCACAATCAACTATGTTTGATTTGCGCACCTCTAGAACACAACGCAATGATGTGCAAGGGAAAACATTGCTTCAAATGTAACGGGCCACATCATACTTCTTGTTGTTTGGAGCATCTCGACAATAACAGTTCGGCACCACCTATCAACAAGCCAGAAGCTAGAAGACCCGCCCACCTGCCGACTAAGGAAAGGGCAAATGAGCGAAGTAGTAGATACACGCAAGCTGTTCGTGCAAAAACTAGAACAAATCTAATCACTCTTGAAGAGAGCATCCCACCCAATAATTCACTAGACAGCAAACCTTTGCCCTTTGCAATACCTCCGCCACCTCAACCAGTGCCTACCGCTCATACATCGCAGCGTCCCTACCTGCCATCCGGGGAGGTAACTTATTTACATCCCGAATCTAGAAGCTACGATAAGGCCTATGTATTGCTGGACACTGGGTCAGAAATGTCCTTTATCGATCGTTCTTTAGCAGAGAAGCTGAATTTGCCCGTGTTGCAGGAAAAGAAAATTATGCTAAAAACCTTCTGATCAAGCACACCTCAGGCAAGAAGGTGCAAGGTGGTCAGCATGAAGGTATGGGACAAGGATAGAATTCCTCAATCACTAGAACTGCTCACTCACAAGGTACTTGTTACCTCGTACATGGCTCCAAAAGTGTCCCACGAAGATCTTGAAATTATCAACTCTCTTCAATTGCAGCCCACTATGCCAGTCGAGAGTAAAATGATTACACCTTCCATTCTTCTTGGTTGTGACTAATTATGGTCCTTTATGCGCCATGACGCCCCACCAATACCATTACCTTCTGGAATGTACCTATTGCCCACAAAAATTGGCCATCTCATTTCCGGGAAAAGCAGAGTAGTGGATTCTCAAGTTCTTAGCGTGACAGAATCAACCCAAGATAACATTGAACATTGGGAGAAATACCGGGTCATGGAACCCGTTCAAGCATACAGTCACTGCAGATGACACAGAAATCACAGAAGAAGAGAGAGATCAGTGGGAAGAATTCTGGCGATGGATGTTGCAGGTACCGAGAAGTTTGCAGGGCCAGAGAAAAAAGAAAAGGCTGCTCAAGATCTAATGGTATGGCGAAAATTCAATGAAATGATACAGAAGAGAGAAGACGGGTATTACGTCCGACTACCATGGAAGGTGTAATTTGCCACGCTTCCGGACAATAGTGCGTTAGCGTACAAGCGTCTTGTCAACCGAGAAGTTTGCTTCGATCAGTAGAAACAGCGATCTTCTCGAACAATACAACAACGTTTTTCATGAGCAACTACGACGCAATAAAATTGAGCCCGTGAATGAACAAGAACCATCACATGGAGAGCAGCTGCATTACATACCCCATCAACCAGTAATCACTCCACAAAAATCCACGACTAAACTTCGAATAGTATTCGATGCGTCTGCTCATTATAAGGCTGCCCATCTTTGAACGACGCTCTATATCGGGGGCCTGTGATTCCTCCGTCTCTATACGGATTACTGCTACGGTTTCGGATAGGAAAATTTGCAATAACATCTGATGTAGAAAAAGCATTCTGCAAATCCACTTACAGGAACACTTCGACTCCACACGATTCTTCTGGCTATACGACCACAAATCTGCGCCGGGATTGACAACACAAGAACGTTCAGATTTACCCGAGTCACATTCGGTCTGAAATCCTCTCCCTTCCTGTTAGCCGGAAAGACTCGATACCATCTTGATAACTACGTTGACGAATCCCTTCTGGTCCAGGAAATCAAGGAAAACCTATATGTGGATAACTTAATACTTGCAACCGATTCGTACGAAGAAGCTCAACATGCCTATAAGAAAACGAAAAACATCTTAGATGTAATCAATATGTACCTCCGTGAATTCTCATCGAACAATCGCATTGCTGATGGATTAAATTGACGAAGCAGATCGAAGTCCACAAATCATACCAAAGATTTTGGGACTGAGGTGCAACACCCAGGACGACAAAATAAAAATATTTTGCGACCTTTCAAATACTCCACTAATTACCAAACGAACAGTCAACAGCGCTATCGCATCAATATACGATCCCATGAGATGGTTAGTCCCACTTCTTCACAAATCCAAGGTCTTTTTGCGAAACCTCTGAAAGGAACAATATAATTGTGACACGGAACTTTCAACGGAGAAAAAGGAAGAATGGGAATGCCTGACAAAAGAGGTTCAGGGCTTCGAAGGTATAATGCCAAGGTATTTGACCGCTAGAAGCAGCCATGCAATATTAGTTACTTTCGCAGACGCCAGTTCAAGCGCAATAGCTGCCAGTACATATATCAAGAGGGGAAGGCACATCTTCTCAAGTCTAAGTTGCCCGCTATTAATGCGCAGCTTACGATTCCGAAACTCGAACTTAATGCAATAACCTTAGCAATGCGGATGACATACTCCATTCTCTCACAACTGCAGTCAATACTCAGTACCCAAGAAGTATACCTATTCTCCGACTCTGAAATCGCAATCAACTGGCTCAAGCTCAAGCCAGAACGAGAAGTAGGGCAATTTGTCAATAACCGACTTGTGGAAATACGAGCAATCAGTAACTGCATTCGAGAAAACCATTGTGAAATTAAAATCGGGTACGTTTCCCCTAATGATAACCCTGCCGATTGTGGCACTAGAGGATTAACGAAGGAAGAAATCGAATTTCATTTCTGGTGGAATGGTTCAACATTCCTTCATACACAGCCAATTGAGTGGCCGTCACATGGTAGAATATTCTATTACCCCTTAGAATGCAATAACCACGACAATAATTCCAATAATGATATCTTATGCGTGAATGAAGATCTCTCTAATAACAACACTAGCATTAACGAACTAGAAAACAGAAAGCTCCTTTCTCCCAGACAGACACTAACCTTCACGAAAGCCCAACGCATCGTAGCTTACGTCTTGCGGTTCATATCAGGAACAATAACCAATACCAATACAAAACGCGCCAACCATAAAAAAGTTTACCTATGTCGGCTCTCAGCGAACACCTCCAGAGACTCGAGAAAAATAACTGCAGAAGAGGTTACGGCAGCAGGCATGGTGATCGCGCGACATCACGAAGAAACAAGAGTTACTGAACATATCATCAAGTCCCTACATAACCTCAATATTCGCCCTGACTAACACAACGTGCTTCGCTGTTATGGGCGATTAGGGCGCTCTCAACTTGACGACGGCGCCAAACTTCCGATCTTCATTCTGCAGTAAACCTTTCTAGCCGAAATAATCATTCGCGACGCTCATCGACATGGTCATCCGGGTATAAACCACACAATAGCACTTGTTAGACAAACGCTCTGGTTTCCACAGCTCAAATCTCAAGTGATATCGGTTATTCGGAAACGCTTCCGCTGTCAAAAATCCAATAACCTCACTTTCAAGTTCCCACATCAAGACGATCTCCCAAAGGAAAGAGTTATACGTTCCTACCCCTTTGAGCATGTGGGACTCGATTATCATGGCCCTCTTTCAATATCGNAATCATCCTGCATGACCACTCGACTCATACACTTGGACATAGTTTCGGACTTAACGACAATAAACTTTCTTCACATGTTACGTCGTTTCTTCGCGAGAAGAGGAGTTCCATGTTTGATAACCAGCGATAACGCTCGAACATTCGAGCTAGGTGAGACAATACTCAAGGAGAGCATTCAGGCGGCAAGACACGACCCGACAGTCTTACGAGAATGGAGTGATAGGGAGATTACCTGGCGACATATCACGCCATACGCTCCCTGGCAAGGAGGACTCTATGAAAGGCTAATTAAGTCAGTTAAACACTCTCTGCACAAGACTCTCGGAAGATCGCTGCTTTCCTTCGAGGAACTGTCGACTACCGTAATCGAAATCGAGGCTTTGCTCAATACAAGTCTTCTAACATACGTGTCGAACGATATCAACACGTCTATCTTGCATCCGATAGACTTCGTACAGAAGGACTTGCAGCTATCTTGTCCCTTAGCACCCATTTTAAATGAAAAGGAAGGTCCCACATATAGACCTGCGGAAGAAGAACCAACGCTCCAAACGAGGAAACAAGCACTTCAAGCGTTGGACCATCGTGCAACTTTACCGAACGATTTTGGCACGTGTGGCAAACCCAATATCTCACTGCTCTATGCGAAAAGCATATTCTCAACGTCGGACGTAAGAGGGGATGTGTGCAGCTCCCGACAGAAGGACCAATCGTTCTACTGTGTGATCCGATACAACCACGCCATTACTGGAAGATGGACATTATTCATGAGGTTGTGACCAATGAGAAAGGCACTATCAGAGAAGCCATAGTACGACTACCATCTCAGAGGCTTATACGGCGGCCAATAAATTTACTCGTTCCCTTAGAGCTCGAAGATGATGGAAAAGTGAACATCAGAGAAGATGTAGGACTCTATTTCGAAGGAAACAATAACGAAAAGAGCATCCCATCTACGGAGTTAGACAATAACGTTCTCCCGCGGAAAGAAAATATCGAAACGCGTCATCCCCATTATAACTTACGAAAGCGGAAGATTATCAACTATGACAAAGACAGGATTGATCCAGAGGCTTCACCGACTTCAAATCCCAGAATGTTCACCCTTTCTACATTACTTCACATATCTCTAGCCATAACCTTGGTGAATCCATCTGCAACCTCTACAAAGATTAACGTTTCGTCTCGATCCATACAATGTATTCCAGTGGGAGTACGCTTAACATCCCAGGAGAGAGTCCCATATGAGGTTTGGCTGAACACCACTGCGTACAAGTGGAAAACCCCAAGGCTGAACAAAACATCACTTTGCCCCCTGATGTAATTTTATACCACCACAACATACAGTGGAAATTTGCAGAGAACGAGTCGGTCAAGATCATAGAGATTCTATGCCCTCCCGGTCCATTCATTGAAGCAATAACTTGCACATTTTGTATCGCTAACATATTTAACCCCGAGTGCTGGCCTAAAAGTGCTATATTTTCAATGGCTTTGTCGATTTATTTTAATTAACAGGGTGTTATGTATTTCTGTATGTGCCGTTGGTGGTTAGAAAACCAATAAGAATCATTGTGAGGCTGATATGGTTAATAGTGGCATGGGTACTCCGTAGATGTCGAACAAACCCACAGATAAGAAGAACATCAGGAAGAAGACGTTGTTTCGCAGAAATCATTGCCCTCGTCGGTTCAATACAATACTCACACCCCTGTCAGCAAATCAATTTATTTACTCAATACGCAATTTTTTGCGCAAACAACAATAGAGACTAATGTCAAGTACAGGTTTCTGAGGTGTGCAAAATCAACTCTTTCAAAAGAGAGGCGTGTTTGCGTCTTTCTCAGAATGAAACAACCCTTCATGAAGTCCGTCTACAGTGGAAATCTCTGCTCCTTACATGCGAACCCGAGACAGATCTCTTTACAAGAGATACGGTTCTATACGTAACAAGCAGCAAGCGTCCGCTCATGTTGGTTCATGTCAAGACGATAAATGTGAATCGGTTATTGTGTCATCAATAATCAAGGAACTAGCTGAGGGAAATGATTTTCCAGGCAATACTGCTTGCGTAGAATCCTGCAGAGGACTGGGTTGTGATTGCTGGTGGCCAAGCTCAGGATGCCTCTTCTATAGAATCTACGCAAAACCAACCAGCGACGGAATTTTTGAAATTTTTCATTGCAATAGGTGGACTCAGTCAGCCAAAGTGGCGATTTCACATTTTGATGCAGCTAGGAAAATATCGTGAACCCATACAATAATGCTGCTTCCAAATGCACCTATGCAGTGGAAAATGTTCACAATAACCTTATCCTCAGTCAGTACACCTCCCATACCATTGTTGAGCCCCAAATTTATAACAAATGGGAAAAGAACAGCACGATGGAAAGAGAACGCGATTCCAGCATTGCAGTGCCTGAGATACTACGATGCGAAAAATCTGCGCTGTCCAATATTGGATGAATGTGCTTGCGATCCGGCAGAAACAAAGGTGAATTGTAAGTGTAAATAAATCTCAGTCAAAAAATGGTTTGAGAACGTCAAAAACCAGTTGCCAGCTGTATTCCCTTCAATAACCTTTCGAAGATCCTTAACCTCGAAGGTCCAAGCAACCGTTTCAAGTATGAAACTATCGGAAATCATCGTAAGCTTTAAGGACCAACTTAAAACAGAAATCCTGGTTGACGAGGCAGTATGTCAAGTATCTGCAAGTGAAGTAAAAGGCTGCTATGAGACTGCGCAAAAGGAGGTATAGCCACAGCAGTCTGCATTTCTTCTAGAGACGACATGCAAGTAGAAATTCTTTGCGGATCAATTCCATTCACTATCCCCTGCAATACCACCGGAGTAAGTTCAG